GGCAAGCCTTGGGCGAGTGGCTGGAGGTGTTCTGTTTTCTCTTAGAAAAATATGGTCACCATAGCTTTTGGGAAAAGAGGAACCTATACAGGAGGATGGGCTCCACCTAAACCAAAATGGAATCAGACTGCTGGCATGTAAAATTAAAAAGGTTGTAAAAGAAGTTTTTAAACTTAAGGCTGGGGGAAAGCTGACAAGTGTGGAGGACCACATGGTTTGGACAGAGACATCCCTTAGGGGAGGATTTATTTATAGGGATTCTCTATAGCCTAATAAAAAGGAGAGGATAGAAGGTGACAAAGTACAGGTAAGAGCTGAAGAGAAACAGTCAAATGAAAAAAGTCTCATTCAGTTACATCACATGAAGGCAGACAACTGAATATTGACAAATTTTATAAGTGCTTGTATACAAAAATGCTAGACGTCTAAATGGGTGAATTTGAGTGCCTGATATTAAATGAGGATATTGCTATAATAAGAATCACAGAAACTTGGTGGAATGATGATAATCAATGGGACATGGTAATACCAGTATACAAAATATATAGGAATGACAGAGTGGGTCGTGCTGGTGAGGGAGTGGAACAATAAATGAATGAAAGCATAGAGTCAAATATAATAAAAATCTTAAATTAATCACACAGTACCATAGAATCTCTATGGGTAGAAATTGCATGCTTGAATAATCAGAGTATAGCAATAGGAATATACTATCAGCCTCCTGACCAGGATGGTGATGGTGATTGTGAAATGCTCGGGGAGATTAGAGAGGCTACCGATTGGGTACATGTCACCCCAGGATGGTATGCAGAGATAAAAATTCTAGACACCATTAATGACTGCTTCTTGGAGCAGCTAGTACTAGAACCCACAAGGGGAGAGGCAATTCTTGATTTAGTCCTACATGGCACACAGGATCTGGTCCAAGAGGTGAATATAGCAGAACTGCTCAGTAACAGTGATCATAATGTAATTAAATTTAACATCGTTGTTGGAGGGGAAAACACCAAAGAATCCCACCACAGTTGCATTTAACTTCAAAAAGGGGAACTACACAAAAATAAGGAAGCTAATAAAACAGAAATTAGAAGGAACAGTCACAAGAGTGAAATGCCTGCAAGCTGCATGGAAACTTTCTAAAAACTCCACAATAAGGTTCAGATTAATGTATACCCCAAATAAAAAAAAAAAAAAAAAAAAGAGGACCAAGAAAATGCCACAACGGCAAAACAACAGAGTAAAAGAGGTGATAAAAGGAGAAAAGGCATCCTTTAAATATTGGAAATCAAATTCTCCTGAGGAAAACAGAAAGGACCATAAACTCTGGCAAGTTAAGTGTAAAAGTATAATTAGGCAGGCCAAAAACTAATTTGAAGAGCAACTAGCAAAAGACATAAAAACTAACAGCAATTTGTGTAAGTTCTTCAGATGCAGGAGGCCTGCCAAAAAAAAATCAGTGGGGCCACTGGATGATTGAGGTGCTAAAGGACCACTCAAGGAAGACAAGGCTGTTGCAGAAAAGCTAAATGAAATCTTTGCATCAGTTTTTATTGCAGAGAACATGAGGGAGAGTCCCACACCTGAGTCATTCTTTTTAGGTGACAAATCTGAGGAGCTGTCCCAGATTGAGGTATCCATAGAGGAGGTTTTGCAACAAACTGATAAATTAAACAGTAATAAGTCTCCAAGACCAGATGTTCTGAAGGAACTCAAATATGAAATTGCAGAACTATTAACTGTGATATGTAACCTATCACTTAAATCAGATTCTGTACTAAATGACTGGAGGATAGCTAATGTAATGCCAATTTTTTAAAAAAGGTCCAGAGGCGATCCTGGCAATTACAGACTTCTGTACCAGACAGAGTGTTTGAAACTATAGTAAAGAACAGAATTAACAGATGCATAGATGAACATGATTTGCTGGAGAAGAATCCATACAGCTTTTGTAAAAGGAAATCATGCTTCACCAATCTACTAGAATTATTGGGGGGGGGGGGGACACAAACATGTGGACAAGGGTGATTGAGTGAATATAGTGTACTTGGACTTTGAGAAAGCTTTTGACAAGGTCCCTCACCTAAGACTCCTAAGCAAAGTAAGTTGTCATGGCATAACAGGGAAGGTCCTCTTATGGATCAGTAACTGGTTAAAAGACAGGAAGCAAAGGGTAGGAATAAATGGTCAGTTTTCAAAATGGAGAGACATAAATAGCAGGGAGATCTGTACTGGGACCAATGCTATTCAAAATATTTGTAAATGATCTGGAAAAAGGGGTAGCAGTGAGGTGGCAAAGTTTGGAGGCAATACAAAGGAGGGATACTTAAGGCATACTTAAGATAGTGAAGTCCAAAGCAGACTGTGAAGAGGTACAAAGGGATGTCACAGAACTGGGTGCCTGGGCACCAAAATGGCAGATGAAATTCAGTATTGATAAATGCAAAGTAATGCACATTGGAAAACATAATCCCAACTATACATACAAAACGATGAAGTCTAAATTAGCTGTTAACACGCACGAAAGAGATCTTGGTATCTTGTGGATAGTACTCGAAAACATCCGCTGAATGTGCAGTGGCAGTCAAAAAAGCTAACAAAATGTTAGAAACCATTAGGAAACTGATAGATAATACAGTAGATGCTTGTTTGTTGAAACACCTCATAAGTGCAACCACCACTTATAAGCAACATTTCCACTGGGAACATTTTCCCTACCACTTGGTAACAGCAACATAGCTGCCACGTAAGAGCAACAGTTGTGACATCACATCCAGGGCGGAGATTTGGGGGGGGACATTTAGAGGCATTGCCCCCCCCAAACTTCATCTTTCCACTCCCCTCCCAATCCTGGACCTTCAGCACAGCTCCAGGGCACACAGCCCCGCCACTTGCCCTTCCTGAGAAAGCCTGCATAGAGAAAGCAGATGGGGCCGCACTCGAGGGCTGGAGTAACAGGGGGCTCTGTCCAACAGGGACCCAATACTCACAGGGTGCATCTTTTCACTCCCCTCCCAACCCTGGCTCTTGAGTGCAGCTTCAGGGACACAGCCCCATCCACTTGCCCTGCCTGATAGAGCCTGCGTGGAGAGCATGTGTAGGGGTGAGTTTTGGGGGGTGGGAAGTTGGGGTTGGTGGAACAGCAGAAGCGCAGCTGGAAGGTCTCCTCCTCCCTTCCTCAGCATCTGGCTTGCAAGAGGTTGGGGGGACGGGAGGTTGCTATTTTAAGTGGGGAGCATCAGGGACCCCCATACACTGAGCTATCCCCTCCATCTCGGTTGCTGGTGGCAAGGTGTGGGTGTGCTGTTTTGCAGTGGGGGATTGGGGAATCCCCCTCTCCAGGGCACTGATCTGTCCCCTTCCCCCTCCCATCTCCGGTGTCAGTGCTAGGAGCCTGCCCCTCCCACCCCTGCAGACTGTGCACGGTGCCCTCCCCAGCCATATATCCCTCGCCAAGGTGGAACATGAAGTCCGACAGCCAGGCTCACTCAGCCATTTTGTGACTGGGGGCTCCCCTGCCAAACCCAGGATTCCATTTTCAAACTTGGTGTTCCCTACTCCCCCCTCCCCCCACCCCACACACACAAAGTGGCTGCCCCTCCCCTTCCAAAACATCCTTTACTCTTCATATGCCTTCGGTCAGATGACACTCCCCATAACAGCAACAGATGCTTGAATATGTTGCTACTAATGAGCGTTTACTGTAAACTGAAAATATCATAATGTCACTATATAACTCCGTGGTATGCCAACACCTTGAATACTGCATGCAGCGCTGGTTGCCTCTACACAAAAAGATAGATTAGAATAGGAAAAGGTAGAGAGAATGGCAACAAAAATGATTAGGGGTATGGAACAGCTTCATATGAGGAGAGATTTTAAAAACTGGGACTGTTCAGAATGGACAAGAGGCAACTAAAGAGGAGGATATGATAGAGGTATCATAACGATAAAATCATGAATGGTATGGAGAAAGTGAATAAGGAAATGCTATTGTCCCTTCACAAAACACAAGAACCAGGGGTCACCCAATGAAATTAATAGGCAGCTGTTTAAAAAAAAAAAAAAAGGAAGTAAAGCTTCACACAATGCACAGTCAACCTGTGGAACTCATTGCCAGGGGATGTTGTGGAGGCCAGAAGTATAACTGGGTTCAAAAAAGAATAAGGCTATATCTACACTACCGCAGTAAGTCGACCTACGCTACGCAACTTCAGCTACGTGAATAAGGTAGCTGGAATTGACGTACCTTAGGTCAACTCTCCTGTCGACTTACCTTACTCTTCTCGTCGGGGGTAGAGTACAGGGGTCGACTGGAGAGCGATCTGCTGTCGATTTGGTGGGTCTTCACTAGACTCGCTAAATTGACTGCTGGTGGATCGATCTCAGAGAGTCGATCCCAGCTGTAGTGTAGATGTAGCCTTAGATAAATTCATGGACCCTATTAGCCAAGATGATCAAGGACACAACCCCATGCTCTGGGTTTCCCTAAGCCTCTGACCGCCAGAAGCTGGGACTGAAAGACAGGGGATGGATCACTTGATGATTGCCCTGTTCTATTCATTCCCTCGGAACCATATGGCACTGGCCACTGGCAGAAGCCAGGATACTGGACTAGATGGATCATTGGTCGAACACAGTATGGCCGTTCTTATGGGCTACCCCCTGGGATCAGGGTGGAGCCAGGGACGCTGGGAGCTCTCCCCGCATGGGCCTGCCCCCTGGGATCAGGGTGGAGCGATGCATGCTGGGAGCTCTCCCCCCCTGGGATCAGGGTGGAGCGATGCATGCTGGGAGCTCTCCCCCACCCTGTCGGAGCAGGTAGAGCAATAGATGTTGGGAGCTATCGGTCTCCCCCTCCCCCAGCCAGTGACTAACAGCTCCGACCGTGTGGAAGGTGTTGCTGCTGCCTAGGTCACCCCCCCACCTCCCGCTTCGCCCTTGGCGAGTCCCTGCAGGCCCGCCCGGTCCCTCCGCCGGGGGGGCGCCAGACCCCGCGCTACCTGGGCTCCTCCTGCTGCCGCTCTCCATCCTCACGCCCATGCTCATGGCCTGGCCCCAGGCTCCTCTCCCTGAGCCGCGGCCGGCCCGGCCCGGCCCGGCCCCCTTCTCTCGGCTCCGGAGTAGCGGCGGCCCCTCCCCCCACAGCCGGGGCGGGGCCGCTCTGGCCGCGTGCAGGGTTGCTATGACCACGGACCCGGTCACGTCGCCGGGAGTGTTACGTCCCGAGGCCCGGCAGCCCCGGGGAGGGGGAGTCCAGAGGGGGGCGGGGGAAGAGAGAGGCGGGGGAATGCGAGGAAGAGGAGTTGGAGATGGGAGGGGAGAGGAGATGGCGGGGGGAGGGGGGATGGAGATGGTAGGGGAGAGGAGATGGCGGAGGGAGGAGGGAGAAGATGGCGGGGGGGATGGAGATGGGAGGGGAGAGGAGATGGTGGGCGGGGGGGATCGAGAAGGGAGGGGAGGGGAGAGGAGAGGGTAAGGGTAAGGAGGATGGAGAAGGTGCAGCCCACCCAGGCATGACCATGGAGGGGGCTGTGTGAGGCATTGGCTGGTACAACACTTGTCTTCCCTACCAAAGTCCCATCTGGCCCTGTTTGGGGCTGCCTGACCCATCTCTGGGCTGTAGCTAGGAGCCACAATAGGCCATGGCAATGGGTAATTTAGTAGCTAGTGGCCCTATCCAAAGGGTGTAGCTCTGTTTTGTGTGCTTGGGGGGGGGGGGGGGTGTGTCTCTTGGCCGTAGGCAATGTTGCTTCTTTACAGAGTCATTCCTAGAACAATAACATTAACAAATGAAGGACCACCTGCCACCCATGGTAGAAGTATTATTTAGCATGTTTATTACAGTAGTGAATGAGAACTAACCAAGATGGGGCCCCATTGGGCTAAAACACTGCTGGTAGAAGGTGCTGCTTTGATGGTCCTGGGGACTGACATCCAGTACACAGATCAGGTGCAGCATGGGCAGTGGCAGTGCAAGCTTTACCCATGCTGCTACTCCAGGGAGCCTCAGCCCTTATCAGGAGCATCACCCTCTAGAGAATGAATAGGTAAGTGAATCTTCAGACTATGAAGGCCCTGATCTTGCAGTGTCCAACTACCAACAAAGCCTGACTTCAGTGAGAGATGAGGATGCACAACACTATGCTCTAGTTCAGAGGTCCCCAAATTGTGGGGTGCGCCCCCCTAGGGGTGTGTGGAGGAACATCCAGGGGCAGGGCCCAGGCCAGCCCCCACAGGGAGGGAGTACCCCCCCAGCTCTGCTCTGGTCTCACTCCCAGCTGTGTCCACCCACTCCCAGCCCCGTGCCTGACCCTGTCCCCAGCTTTGGTGCAGCTCCGCACCCAGCCGGGATCCTGGCTGTTAGCCCCCACCACGGCCTGGTGGTGGCTCTGCTCCCATGCTATCCTCCCTCACTGGCCGCAGCTCTGTTCCCAGCCTGGGGCCAAGGCTGGGAGCGGAGCTTCACCTGGCCTGGCTGCCGGCCCCCACCTCAGCCTGGCTGTGGCTCTGGCTCCACTCCCGCCCCCAGCCTTGGCCCCTTGCTGTGACCGCACTCCCAGTCCCAGACCCACCCCCAGCTGTGGCCCCAGCGTTGGCCCCCTTACTCCTGTCCACATTCCCTCCCACTCCTCCAGAGCCACCGCCCCGCTCCCAGCCTAACTCCAGCAGGGTGGGGAGGGTGCTGATGGGGTAAGAGTGGGCATGACTCTCAAAAGTTTGGGGGCCGCTGCTGTAGTTCAAGTATGAATTATTTTAGGGGAGTTCTGTGGCCTGTGTTATCAGGAGCTCCGACTACTAGATGATAATAGTGGTCTTTTTGTCTTTAGAATCTGATCAGCCCTCAGATTGTTTACTTCTGTGCTGAGGCTGTCAAAAATGGGAGCAATTATATCTTCTGTGGTGGTGTTTTTGTAATGTGGAAAGTAGTCCCCTGGAGACTGGCCACCCATACATAAAAGTCAATTTTGAAAGCTTAATTTTTTTATGAGAACTCTAACGGTGAACTGGAGAACATTGAATCACAGCTGCCCAGATATTTTTTTAGTAAAGGTTTTAAAAGGCAGTACATTACAGAAGAGTAGGGCTTTACCTTTATTAGCAAAAGGATAATTTGTAAGCCGTAATTTGTAAACAGCTGCACACATCTATGACCCAATGTAAATAATAATAAAAAGGACTATTTTATTATTAATCTCAGTAGTACAGTGGGAGGAGGGACTACTTTTTGTTCTCTTTCTCCATTAGTGTCAAAACACCAGCATGACAGCATAATTAAAAACTGTACCAACTTGGGACTCTAACTCTCTGTATGCTTAAATTAGTCCTGTTCTTACAGTGCTGGCCTAAAAGAGATTTCTAATAATCTCACCTATATGAAGTATTGAAAAAGGAGATATTTTAAAAAGGGGAGGTTTTTTTTATCACTCATAGTACAGTAACTATAGCAGCATCATTTCTCTGTAAATTGTTAAACTGCAAGTCATCCAGTGAGACTGCAGCCTCAAACAGGCAGTGTTTCCCCCCTCCCCAAAGCCCAAATAAGATGGCTTTACAAAGGATTCTCTGTGGGGGCTTGGGGCACAGAATATTCTTCTCAGCCTGTGAAGCACCAGTGGAGTTGCTCTATGGCCACTACTGCTAACCTTGCCTTGCGAGATTGATCTCTCTAGTCATGGATCTACTCACCATGTCTCCACCTTTTCTCCTGTCTGCCCTTCCCTGCTACCTTGGATGAAACTCCTGCAGAGCACAGCTTCCCTGCCCTCCTCCCTTCGTGCCTTGTTTCTGTTGCCCTTCAGTCCCTATACACCTGAGGAAATGTTAGGCGTTTCCCCAGTATGGTTGAGCTGGAAGTGGAACTACAGTGTTTGGGAGGAAAAACTTTTCTAGCTGACATCTGCATGTGCTATTTAACTTTCAACCCACCCAGAGGAGCGACCAGTTGAGCTAGTTATGAATTTACAGATATGAGCTGTAAACCACTGGTTTACTAGCTAATACTACAACAGATGTTTACACATGTGCCGAAGACCTAAGGATGGATTAAAATTCTAGTCCCATAGGTAAGAAATAACTGACAGCGCATTATTCGCTAACTGATCCCCCATCTGTAGAGGGCCATGAAGTTACTCTGAAAAAATCAGGAATATTTAGAGTGATTAATGCTATAATAGCTGTGAGTTTTGCTTCTTCCCTACCTTAATGTGTTTCATTAAAATCATTCATATCTGAACATGAGATGTCAAAGAGACATGGAAGGTAAAGGAATATTCATTGCAATGTGATCATTTTGTCTGCAAGTAATTCCTTCCCATCATCCAAAAAGAAATTTGATTATGGGTAAAATATATGGTTTGCTGCCTTTCTGGCATCCCTGGAGAAATGTCTGAATAAACCTGGTTTAAACTTGTTACAAAAGTTCAAACTTGTTACAAAAACAATGAAATAGTATTTACAGGGGCTCTGTTCTTACTCCTAACTCAGACAAAACTCCTGTTAACTTATAGGGACACGGAAATTGCCATGCTGGATTGGACCAATGGTGTATCTCAGGGGTCAGCAACCTTTCAGAAGTGCTGTGCCAAGTCTTCATTTATACACTCTAATTTAAGGTTTCGCGTGCCAGTAATACATTTTAATGTTTTTAGAAGGTCTCTTTCTATAAGTCTATATTATATAACTAAACTATTGTTGTATGTAAAGTAAATAAGGTTTTTAAAATGTTTAAGAAGCTTCATTTAAAATTAAATTAAAATGCAGAGCCCCCCCCAGACCAGTGGCCAGGACCTGGGCAGTGTGAGTGCCACTGAAAATCAGCTCGCGTGCTGCCTTTGGCACACGTGCCATAGGTTGCCTACCCCTGGTCTATCTAGTCCAATATTCTGTCTCACAGTTGCCAGCATTAAATACTAGAGAGGAAGGAAGAGAACTGTAAAATACTTTGCCCTTAGGCAAATTTTCTTCCTAACCTCCATCAGTTAGTGGTTGGCTTATGCCTTGAAATATTAATATTTATATCCCGTTCAACATTTTTTAGTTCCTCTATTTTAACACTGGATATTCTTATTAGCAATATAAACAGCAGATCCTTTTTGGAAACTTGATATCTTGTAGCAATAAATTCTCCAGACTAATTGTGCATTGTGTAAAAAAATTATTTCCTTTGATCAATTTTAAATTTGCTGGGAGAAGGCAGAAGAGAAGGGGTACACCTTGGGACCCTTCAGGTCCTGGGATTGTCAGTCCGTTTGTGTATCTAGGTTTTCCTAAAGTGCCTCTCATCATGGTATCTAAGCACATGTATGAATCATGATGTTACAAATACCCTGGTTTTTGTCATGGCCAAATCCTCCCTTGAGGTTTGGGGAAGTTCCTTTATGTGCACAGAGCATCAGTTTTGTTTTACATATTACGTTTCTTCTGGCTGTGAGAGAAGCAATCCTCTTAGTTCCTGATGACACACCCTAAACCTACAGGAGCTCTTAAACAGTGGAAAAAGTAAAATGAATGCTCAATTACATGTTAAATGGTAACTGGGATTTTCAAAGGAGCCAAAGAGAGTTAGGTGCCCAAATCCCATTGAATTTTAGGCTACTTTGAAAATCCTAGCCTAAATGGTTAAACCCTCAAATGATGGAAACAGAGATTGTATTAATATGATTTTATTTCCTGTTACCTAAAATAAAATACTACAGTTATCTTAAGTAAGATATTTACTGCTACAGAACATAAAAATAAATTGTTGTAAAACACAACCTTACGTAGCTCAGTGGTTTGAGCATTGGCCTGCTAAACCCAGGGTTGTGAGCTCAATCCTTGAGGGGGCTGCTTAGGAATTCTGAGGCAAAAATCAGTACTTGGTCCTGCTAGCGAAGGTAGGGGACTAGACTCGATGACCTTTCAAGGTTCCTTCCAGTGATAGGATAGGATATCTTAAGCTAGAACTTTAGCAGATAATACAGAAGATACTCCTTTCTCTCTCTTAACTAGTTTGATATTTTCGGAATGATTCCTTCATCCAGAAATAAAACCTTAAGTTCCCAGCAGTGTAACTGTCA